ATTTCCTGAGTCTGAGGAGGAAGCCGAGGGCCAGGAAGGCCAGCATCACGATGGCCCTGGAGAGGCTCCAGGAGAACCCCAGTACCCTGGGGGCCCAAAGACAGTCCGTGACCATTCGGCCCTCGAGGCAGCCGTGCTGGATCCTCCTCTTTTGCTCCTCTTTTTGGCAGTATGCTGTGACGCCTGGCCAGAGGGGTTTGAAAGAGTGTAGCCTGGGCCTAGGAGTTCGCCAGCTGTCAGGAGGTTCCACCCGAGTTGTTCCTCCCACCATCCATCCTCTTCCCTCCCCCCTCATTCGTGTTCGTCCGTCCTCCGCCGCCGCGCCATTCCGTTTCGCGTTGGCCCCCTTCCAAACGAGCATGGTGGACAAGTTGAGCATGCGCGCGGTGCATGCGGCGCGAGATTGGTCAGCTTCTTCACCCTCCTGTCCCGGAGGGGCCGGAGGTGGAAGAGGAGAGCGCGGAGAGGCAGGAGGAGGAGGAGGAGGAGAAGGAGGAGGAGGAGGAGGAGAGCGCGGAGAGGCGGGCGAGGAGGAGGAGGAGGAGGAGGAGGAGGCGGAGGGAAGAGGCAGGAGGGGAGGAGGGGGACGGAGAGGCCGAGGCGGCGCCCCCCGGAGTTCTGGAAGCAGCTCGCCCCGCCCCGCCCCGGGCTCTGCCAGAAGGCCCCCCCGCGCGGCCCGCCCACCACCGGCGCCGCCCATGGCGGCCGCGGAGGGCGCCCCGGGCGTCGGCGAGGCCGCGGCGCGGCCGGGGAAGCGGCGGCGCCTCGGCGAGGCCCGCGCGCGGCGGGCCGTCGGGGCTGCGCGCGGCGGGCCGTCGGGGTGGGGGGGCACTTGTTCTGGGGCGGCGGCGCTCCTCGTCCTGGTCCCGCCGCCCTCCTCCGCTGCCCCTCCCCCATCCCGCTCCTCGCTCCCCTCTGCCTCCGGCCCTCCTCGCCCGCTTTTTCCTGCCCCCTCCCTCACATATATATATATATATATATATATATACACACCACATATACCCCCCCCCCTCACTCGGCCCTCTTCCCCTGGCCCACCCCCGGTTTTCCCTCGCGCCCTCCGGGTTCTCGCTCTCCCCCCCTCTCTCCCCCTCTGATTTAAAGGCTGCCGCTTCTGCCGGCGACCCCAACTGAGGCCATGGCGTTTCTTGCGTTCGTGCTGTCTGGTTCATGGCTAGGACTTCTGTGGGCAAAGTTTGGGCTTGCCACCGATTGACCCTTACGGCCGGCCCGATTTTGGCCCCTCATGGGCCGTGTCGGTTTCCAGCTCTCTCTCGGTCCCCCTCGGCCCCTTTTTGGGGGTAGGAGAAGCAGTCCCCACGATCGAACACGCCATTAGCCTGGTGGGCCAGCGGAGCGACCATGTCCGCATTTGTCGGCGGCTGTTGGCCGTCAAGGGAGATTCCCGCCTTGAAAGCCCGCCTGGATGCGAAGCGCTGATCTAAATTGCACGCGGGGGTGCGATTTGGGGGCATCTCCAGGTGTTTCAGCGTCGTTAGTGTGGTCTACACAGGCTTTGGGTTGTACACAGGAGGCGCTGTGGTGCTAAAAACACCCGGGGGTACGCAGGCGCTGTGGTGCACGCAGGCGTTGTGGTGCACGCAGGGACGACGAGGGACAGCGGCGCAATGTTGCACGCGGCTGTCGTAGTGTACACAGGCGCTGTGGTGTATACAGACGCTGTGGTGCCCACCGCTTCAATGGTGTACACTGGCACTGGGGTGTACACAGGCAATGTGGTGCGCACTGGCACTGCGTTGTACACCGGCGCCTCGCTGCAGACGACTGGCATGATGTACTCAGGCGCTGTATTGGGAAGGGGGGGAGGCGCAGGAGGAGGACGGAGTAGGAGAGAATGGGCTGGGACGGTTTTTGCAAGGTGGGTGGTTCCCAAGAGCCCATGCCCAGAGGCTCCAGAAGGCTGGCAGTGTCAGACGCGGTGGGGGGGCCTGCAGGGTGGGTGGCTCCCAGGAAGAGCCAATGCTCAGAGGTTCCAGCAGATTGGCGGTGTCATGCGCGGTGGGAATGCCTGCAGAGTGGGTGGCTCCCAAGAAGGGCCAGTGCTCAGAGGTTCCAGCAGGTTGGCGGTGCCAGGCGCGGTGGGAAAGCAAGGAAGGTTTTTGCAGAGTGCCACCATCAGGCGCGGCGGGGGTGCTGGGACGGTTTTTGAAATGTGGCTGGCTCCCAAGAGCCTTTGACCAGAGGCTCAAGGAGGCTTGCGGTGTCAGGCACGGTGGAGGTGCCAAAAGAGTTGTTTTAGAGCAGGTGGTTCCCAAGAAGCTATACCCAGAGGCTCCAGGAGGCTGGCGGTGTCAGGCGCGGTAGGGGTGCTTGCAGGGTGGGCAGCTCCCAAGAACACAGGCCCAAAGGCTCCAGGAAGCTGGCGGTGTCAGGCGCGGTGGGAAAGCCAGGACGGTGTTTGCAGTGCGGGTGGTTTTCAAGAGCCCACGCTCGGAGGCTCTAGGAGGCTGGCGACGCCAGGCGCTGTGGGCAAGACGAGACGGGTTTTGCCGTCCTCCCCCTTCCTCTTTGCAGCGCGTCGTGGTCTAGCGTGCTCCCATGGCCTTAGCTCCGCGAAAGCGGCCAGCAGTGGGCACGATCTGCTCTTTTTCATGCCTTTCCACTCAGGCATGGGCCTGGCTCAGGAGCCGCGGTTCGCAGGCCTGGAGTTGTACACACGAGAGACCAAACTTGGCCACCAGAGCCCCCTCATCAAGAGGCAGGTCCGTGGTGGCACCCGCTGGGCTTCGCGTGTTGTATCGTTTCACTCTTACGGCGGCTGGCGCGCTCTGCTGAGCAGCTTCACGGGGCAGCTTGTCCGCGAAGTTGGCAGTCAGTCCCAACCCCTCCCAAAGTACGGGCTCGCCCAAACGTCGCACCGATCGGCTTCCAACGAGTGTTGACCTCGCCCAGAACAGATGCGGGCCACGCGGGCTGCGCGGGAGTGCCCTGGCGGTGCTCCCATCCGTTCTTCGGTGAGGTGCGACCCCGCACCAAAAAGGGTGATGCCCAGAGGCTCCAGGAGGCTGGCGGTGGCAGGCGCGGTGGGGGTGCCGGGACGGTTTTTGCAGGGCGGGTGGCTCCCAAGAGCCCATTTTCAGGGGCTCCAGGAAGAATCCATAATAAAAACAATCCCGCCCCAAAAAATGTGAAATTACGGCGGACGGCAATAGTAGGTTACGAACGATGCTTCATACGCCTCTGGGGTCGGCGGAAGGTCGAGGATTGGGGGAGCCATGTGGATGGCAGGTGTCGCCAAGAGCACGCGCCAGTGGCACACGCCATCCTTTCACACACCGCAGGGGTCGGCGGGCCCTCCCCGTGCGCGGTGACATCCCACATCGCGGCCCGACGCCCCCACAGGCGGCTGCGCCCGCGGCGCCAAGTGGAGCGCTCCAGGACGCGCCTGGGGCCGCCGCGGGGGCCGCCGAGGTCGGGGCCGGCGAGGCGGCGCTGACGGAGGCCGCCGCGTGGATCTTGCAGCGCGGTGGGACCGTCGACGGCGTGCGCGTGGAGGAGGCCCCGGGCGACGTCCCATGTGCGACGTGGGAGAGCAACAAATAGGACAGCGCGGAACGATCACTGCTAGAGCTGCCCGACCCAGGTGGTGTTTCTTCAAGGGCGGGCAGCCAGGTTTCATTCCCCGCAGTGTTGCACAAGGCAGGTGCAGTAGATGTCCAGAACGATGTTCCTCATCTCTCCCTGTCCATGCTCCTCCTCCTCATCATCCTCCTCGTCTCACGCCCCGCCTTATGATATCCAGCTGCCTGCGGCAAGCCCCGCCGCAGTGCCAGCCCAGCATACTCTGTGGCAGCTGATGATGACAGTGATGGTGACGGCGAAAACGATGACGACGACGGCGATGATGATGATGATGATGATGATGATGATGATGATGATGATGATGATGATGATGATGATGATGATGATGATGGTGGTGGTGGTGGTGGTGGTGATGGTGATGTGGATGTTCATACTCATGCTCATGTTCATGCTCAAGCCCATGTTCATGATCACGCTGATGATGATGACGACGATGACGATGACGCGGACGATGACGCTGACGATGACGCTGACGATGATGATGATGATGATGATGATGATGATGATGATGATGATGATGATGATGATGATGATGATGATGATGATGATGGTGATGGTGGTGGTGGTGGTGGTGATGGTGATGATGAGGATGAGAATGAGGATGATGGGGATGAGGATGATGATGATAATGACGATGAGAGGACGAGGAGGGGGATAACGCTAGGAGGAGGAGAATTGGCGGACGAGGGGATCAATCACATGATGGTGATGTTGTTGTTACGTGATGATAATGATGGTGATGATGATGATGATGATGATGATGATGATGATGATGATGATGATGATGATGATGATGATGATGAGAAGGAGGACGAGGACGATAATGGTGGTGATGCCTTGCGTCTTCAGGACTGTCCTGGGCTTCTGTGGAGCAGTCTTGGGAGTCCCTTGGAACCCTCTTGGGCCGTTATGGGGCCCGAGAAAGTGTCAGATCACAACCGGCCGGGTGCGATCCCAACGGAACGGGTCAGAGCACAACCGCCAAGCACAGTTGGCACGGGTGAGATCCCAACCGCTCCAGGGGAATCCTTCGGGCAGTTGAGATCCTCCGAGAGATTCTGAGAGATTATGACAGCTTCTGGGAGCCTCTGACAGCTTCTGAGAGCCTTTGAGAGCCTCCGAGGGATTCTGGGAGCCTCTGAGAGCCTCTGACGGATTCTTGCCCTCTTGGGTCCGTCCTCGGCTGTCCAGGGGCACTTGTTGGGATATCTTGACTATCCGTCGGGGGGCCATCTTGAAGGCCTCTTGGGTCGTCTTGAGCCGTTGGAAGCACGAAAGGACGACAATGCGAAACCATTCCAGAACAGTTGGAGAATATTAGCCAGCGTGGACCCCAAACAGAACGTTGTTGCACTGTGGAGGTGAAGGATATGTGTTGAAAGCGATGTTGTGCAAGTTTTGCGGTGTGAGCCATGTGGTGCAAGTGATGCTGTGATGCTACGTCACCGTGTAAGCTATGCGAGCTCCCTGTGGGGCCACGAAAAATGAGAGGGTGCGCCGAGATGGGCGCGGTGGCGCCATGCGAACCCTGCTACTGGGGCCTTCGGTTGAGCTCCCTATGGTTGCATGGGTCCACGGAACGTGTGAGGTGTGCGCCGAAGCGGTTGCGCCATGCGAACTTTGCCATTGGGGCTTCTGGTGGAGCTCCCAATGGGGCCACGAACGTGTGAGGGATGCGCCGAAGTGGAGCGGGGTGTGCAGAATGGGGGCGGCGGTGCCATGCGAACTTTGCCGTTGGTGCCTTCGGTGGAACTCCCCATGGGGCCACGAAACGGTTGAGGGGTGCGGCGAAGTGAAGCGAAACCGCCATGCGAACTTTGCCACTGAGGCCTTCGGTGGAGCTCCTTTGGGGGGCCACCAAACGTGTGAAGGTGTGCCTAAACAAAGGGAGGGGAAGAGGAGGGGAGAGGAGGGGAATGCGGGGCACTGTCTTTTCAAAACGAGGACCCAGAACCACAGGATGGTTGGGAATTACCTCTGCGAATGGCCAAACCATATGCATGTGTGAATACCGCTGGTGTGAGTACCGCCCTCGGTGGAGCTCCTTCTGGAGCTGCGAAACGTGTGAAGTGGTGTGCCGAAATGGAGCCGGCGGTGCCATGCGAACCCTGCCATTGGGGCCTTCGGTGGAGCTCCCTGTGGGGCCACGAAAGGTGTGAGGGTCCGCTGGAATGGGCGCGGTGGCGCCGTGCGAACCTTGCCACTGGGGCCTTCGGTGGAGCCCCCTTTATGGGCACGAGAAACGTGTGAGGGGTTTGCTAAAAATGGAGGCGGCGGTGCCATGCAAACCTTGCCATTGGGGCCATCGGTGGAGCTCCCGATGGGGCCACGAAACGTGAGAGGGGTGTGCCGAAATGGGGGCGGCGGTGCCACATGCGAGCGATGCCACTGGGGCGTTCGGCGGAGCTTTCTAAGGGGCTGTCGAACCCTGCCATTGGGGCCTTCGGGGGCACGCGAAACGTGCGAGGGGTGTGCTGAAATGGAGGCGGCGGTGCCACGCGAACCCTGCCGCTGGGGCCTTCAGCGGAGCTCCCTTATGGGGCCACGAAACGGTTGAGGGGTGTGCAGAATGGAGGCGGCGGTGCCATGCGAACCCTACCACTGGTGCCTTCGGCGGAGCTCCCTATGAGGCCACGAGACGTGTGAGGGGTTTGCCGACATGGACGCGGCGGTGCCATGCGAACCTTGCCATTGGGGCCTTCAGTGGAGCTCCCTATGGGGCCACGAAACCTGTGAGGGGTGTGCAGAATGGAGGCGGCGGTGCCATGCGAACCCTGCCACTTGTGCCTTCGGCTGAGCTCCCTATGAGGCCACGAAACGTGTGAGGGGTTTGCCGACATGGACGCGGCGGTGCTATGCGAACCCTGCCATTGGGGCCTTCAGTGGAGCTCCCTATGGGGCCACGAAACGGTTGAGGGGTGTGCAGATTAGAGGCGGCGGTGCCATGCGAACCGCCACTTGTGCCTTCGGCTGAGCTCCCTATGAGGCCACGAAACGTGTGAGGGGTTTGCCGACATGGACGCGGCGGTGCCATGCGAACCCTGCCATTGGGGCCTTCAGTGGAGCTCCCCATGTGGCCACGAAACGTGTGAGGGGGTTCAGAAATTGAGGCGGCGGTGCCGTGCGAACCCTACCACTGGGGCCCTCGGCGGAACTCTCTATGGGGTCACGAACCATGTGAGGGGCGTGCAGATTAGAGGCGGCGGTGCCATGGGCGGAGCTCCTTATGGGGCCACCAAGCGTGTGGGGGTTGTGCCGACATGGGGGCGGCGGTGCCACGCGAACCTTGCTATTGGGGCGTTCGGCAGACCTTCTTATGGGGCCACGAAACGTATGAGGGCTGCCGGCATGGAAGCGGCGGTGCCACGCGAACCTTGCCACTGGAGCCTTCGGCGGAGCTCCCTGTGGGGACACGAAGCGTGTGCGGGGTGCGCCGAAATCGATGGGAGTGACGCATTGATGATGAGATGATTGTGATGATGGGCGGAGGGAGGAGGGGGAGGAGGAGAAATACACACCAGTAAGTGCAGACACCGCTTGGAAAACTGGCACACACACATCTGCACAAACATAGAATGAGCTATGCGGTGAAAGCTGCGTTGTGTCAACGATGCTGCGCAAGCCATGCTGTGCAAGCCATGTTGTGTAGAGTGTGTGGCGTCAGCTGTGTGGTGCGCGGTGTGCACTGCAAGCCATGGGGCGCAGGCTATGCTGTGCACGCTGTGTGGTATAAGCGCACGGGGGCGCCCACCGGGCGCCCACGAGCAGGCACTGTGGAGCCACCGAGGCGAAACTCTCCCGGACACCCACCGAGCGCCACTGGCGCCCACGAGGCGCCCACTATAGCGGGATATTGGGCGCCAAGGCGGCGAAGTTTGGGGAAACCCTCCTCCTCCTCCCCCTCCTCCCCCTCCTCCTCCTCCTCCTCCTCCTCCTCCTCCTCCTCCTCCTCCTCCTCCTCCTCCTCCTCCTCCTCCTGCTCCTCCTCCTCCCCAACCCCGCGCACGGGGCGCCCACCAGGCTCCCACGAGCAGGCACGGGGCGCCACTGCGACGCACTATCGGGCAGCCCAGCCAGCGCCCACGAGGCGCCCACGAGGCGCCCACGAGCGGGAGTGGGCGCCAGCGCGGCGAATCGCCGGGGGAAATGGATCCAGCGTGTTGGCTGCCTACTACAGGTGCTTACGAGCGGTCACTGGCACCAACGTTCAAAAACCAGGGGAACACATTCAGTTCCTCAAGCAAGCAAAGTCAGACCCCCTAAGTCTCAGCACCGTTTGGGGAATGAGTTTGGCATCTTCAGGCCTTGCTGCAGATTCTCTTGGAGCCCTTGGCGGTTTGGGAGGCCTCTTGGGCCGTCTCGAGGCCATCTTGAGGCCATATGAGGCGATTTGGGAGGCATCCTTGGCAATGTTGGGTCACCTTGGCGGCCTTGGTGAGTTGCATGGGCAGCCTTGGAAGCTACCTTGGGCATCTAGGATATGTTGGCTGACGCCAGGAGTCCATCTGGCAGCCCAGGGCAGCACGGGAAGCTTTGGGAGGGGAGGGCGGTGCATGCAGATGGATGCGGCTGGGAGGGGGGCCCTAGAATATTCCAGATACTTTACCAGGCAGCACTTGGTGTTCTACCCCGCCTCAAGGTGCCAGGGGGCACGGCGGCGGATGACGCTCTCGGAAGTTCTATGTCTGTTTTTGCAGAGGCGGGAGCTGCTGGGCGCAGGCTTGTCGCGGCAAGGGATTTGCCTGCAGGCTTCACCTTCATGCGCGTCCCAGAGAGTTGCGTGTTGAGCGTGGACGCGTGCGCGGCTATGCTGGCAAGGCTTGGGGCTGCGCGCACACAGCCCTGGGGGCAGCCCGGACTTGTTTCGAAAAGCCCACAGAACAGACCTGGGCGGTCTCCATGCCCAGCGCAGCCTTTGGCGACGCATCCCAATGCTTGGGGCCAGGGGCGATCCGCGCACCTGGGTCAGGGCGTCGAGACCGCCCCATACTGCCTTGTGGGCTTGCTCGGGCCAGCTGTGGCTGGCTCCAGGGGCTGTCCTTGCACGACCCCTGCGCCTTGCCAGGCCGTGCCCCACGGGCAGTCGATGCAGCAGCTCTTCCGGCTCGTTGTGCCAGAGGAGGTGGTGGAGGAGGACTTGAGGGCTGAGGGAGCAGCCTCCCAGCCGCTGCCCATGGCGACGCGTCGGGCCGCGCTCTACGCGGCGCTGATGCTCGGCCCGGCTGCAGGAGGCGGGGAGGCGCTTGCTGGGCTGCTGGGCCAGCTGCAGCGCCGGGAGGCGGCGGCCACCACGCCCTTCGTGTGGCCAGGCGACGCCACCGCCGGGCAGGCCGCGTGGCGAGACGTGCCAAGACCGATTGCAGAGGAGTGGAGGGGATTCTTGGGCAGCCTCTCTGCGGAGTACGCCGAGCTGTTCCCTGCGCTGTGCGAGGCGTTCCCGGCTTCGTTCCCCGTCGAGCGCTGCACCTGGGAGGCGTGGCTCAGGGCGCACAGCACGTACACGTCGCGCGCTTTCCCGCGGCAGCCTGGATCTTGCAGCGCCGACGGGGTGCTGCTGCCTCTCCTCGACATGTTGAATCACGACAGCGCCTCGGCCAATGTCGAGTGGCGCGGCGCGGGCCTGACGGAGCGGAGCGGCGCGAGGACGACGCGCGCGGTGGCCGCTGGCGAGGAGCTGGTCTACAGCTACGGCTGCAAGGGGAACGCGGAGCTCATCCTGGGTTATTCGGGGGCGGAAAAGAGGGGGGTGATGACTAGGGGGGGGGGATATCATGGCGGGGGTCATGATATTTCCCCAGATTTCATGGGGCCTCTTCTTATTTCGTTACGTCCCTGGCCCCCCCGCTGGGCCGCGCACATGCCGCCGGTCATGATTTGCACCCCCCCCTCTTGGACACCCCCCTCTTGGCCGCTCCCGAGTTATGGCTTCGCCGTATGGGGCAACCCGCACGAGCTCGCAAGGGTGGTGGTTGACGCGGAAGAGTTGCGGGGGCCAGAGGGGGCGGGGGTCTGCGAGGCTGCGGCGGCCGTCGACGTGGCCCTGGACACGATGTGCGGGATCTCCGACTTCTGCCTCAGAAGCGGCGTTGGGAAAGCTGTCTTCAAGCTGTCGCTGGACGACCTCGCCGCTGGCTCGCGAGGGGGCGGCCCTTGGGCGGCTCTGTGCCAGCTGTGCAGCGCCACACACGTGCAGCTCAACAGGGCCACGCCAGAGGACGTCCTGCAGGAAGTCCTGTGGGGCGCGTGCTCGGGCCTCATGGGCGAGGCGCGCGACGGCACGGAGAGGGGCCTGGACGACTGGAAGGCCCACGTCGCGCGGGCGCACAGCCTCGACAGCATCGCGGTCGGCACGTCGCGGTGCGCCACGACGCCCGCCGGCATGGTCGCGGCTCTGAGGGATTGGGGGGCCGCGTGCCTCGCACAGGGGCGGGAGGGAAAGGAGGGCCACCTGAGGCAGTCTCGAGGCGAGCATTATCCCGCCGACCCCCAGAGGAGAAGGCGAGTGCGCGGGTAGGATCGCGCGGGGGGCGTGTTGCGCGAATCCTCGACGCGCTTCGGGGCGTCTGGGCGGTTCCACGGGCAGCCGCTGGCGGTTTCGGATGTCCTCCTAGGGTGCATGGCTGGGAGTGCCAGTTTGAATCTTTCTTGGTGGGCCTTTTCGGGGGTCTCGGATGTTGGGTTCGTCCCCGTTCTTCTCTAACGCATGGGAGGATGGGAGAGGAGAATGGGTGACTTCTTGGGAAAGGAGAAGGAGGAGGAGGAGGAGGAGGAGGAGGACGCGAAGGGGAGGAGGAGAAAGGTAACGAGGAGGAGGAGGAGGAGGAGGACCAGCGTAAACCCAAGAGTCATCAACGATGTTGGAATGAACCCTCCCTCCACGCTCCCTCTTCGCAGGCCCCTACAACGGTTCATTTTCATTGAGGGAACTGCCTCGTTGGAAGACAACCGTTCGAAGATCCTGAAACGTGCCAAAACATTGACATTGCTCTCGGGAGTCCAACGCCACGCATCAACCTGACTGCTACGTCTTGACGATCCGGAATCGTGCCAGAACGCCGCTTTTGGGACTTCAACACCGCGAATCAACAGAACTGTTGCGCCCGCATAATCCTGAATCCGTCCGAAACACCATTTCTGGTACGTTGGTCCTGGGAACCCGTGAAACTCTTGTAAATATTTGAAAACGAATGTGCGCGGCGCTCAGGCAAGAGCCACATGTTGAAAAGGAATCGTTTTCAATCAGTGAAAGCCTTGCACATCTTGAAAACGAATATGCGCCGCGCTGAGGCGAGAGCCACATTTTGAAAACGACCCACCCTCAATCCATGAAACCTTTTGCAAATGTAAAAACGAATGTGCACGGCGCCAAGGCGAGAGCCACATTTTGAAACGACCCGCCTTCAATCCGTGAAGTTCTTGTAAATAAAAACACAAATGTGCACGGCGCTGAGGCGAGAGCCGCTTTTTGAAAACGACTCGCCCTCAATCAGTGAAATGATTGCCCATTGTTGTTTATACATATATATGTTTATATATATATATATATATATATATATATATGGTTGAAAAATGCGCGCGGCCCTAAGGCGAGAACCACATTTTGAAAACGACCCGCCCTCCATCCGTGAAGCTTTTGCAATTGTTTTAAACGAACGCCCGCGGCGCTAAGGGGAAAGCCACATGTTGAAAGCGACCCGCCCTCAATTTGCGAAACTGTTTGCCAACGTATAAGCTTCAGAGTTATAATGGTGCAGAAGTCTCAGGCGCAACGCCTGGGCCGCCCTAAAAACTGGCCTCGGGGAGCGACAGGAAGAAGTTATCTAAAAGGAGAAGGAATGGAGGAGGAGGAGGAGGAAGAGGAGCAAGAGGAGGAGGAGGAGGAGAACGAGGAGAAGAAGGATGATAAAAAGGAGAAGTAGAAGATGAAAGAGAAGGAAAAGGAGAAGGAGAAAAATAGGGAACATCTTGGGAGCGATTTAGGCCTTCTTGGAAGCCCCTGTCGGGCATCCTAAGGGGCTCGCGGGGCCTGTTGGGGGCGCTTCGGAAATCGCGTCTGGGCCCTTGGCGCTTCATTGAGGTAGGAGTCTCGAAATATTGTGTCTTCCCCTCAGGGCCCCGCCGTGGGACCGTCTGGAGGGCGTCTTGGGCCGTTTGGGGCGTCTCTTGGGTTGTGTGGGCGCCCTCTTCCGTAGCCGAAGGCTCTTTGGGGGGTCTTGGGGTCGTCAAAGATCAAGCTCAGGGCCGTCCTGGAGCGTCTGGAGGCCGAACACGCGAGTGCGCGAAAATGCATCAAACATTAATGAATATCTATGATGTGAGTTTCTTGGGTCCCTCGTGGCGGTTATCTTGGAGCCTTCTAGGGATAGATTGGGATCTCTGGCTTTTCCCAAGAATCCAGTGGTGTGGGGGGCCCTCTCTTTGAAGAGACAGCGCACCGAGTCTTCCTTCCTCCTCGTGGCGTCATATAGGCCCATAGGCAGTTCCAACGAAGGCCCCGAGGAACCGTGCACACAGTGGCACCACACCCGCTTCAGCAAACCCGTTACACGCTTCGTGGCCCCGCACGGAGCTCCACCTCACGGCCCCAGTGGCAACGTCAGCATGGTGTCGTCACACGGAATCCGGCACACCCCTGACACGTTTCGTGGCCCCACAGGCAGCTCCACTGAAGGCCCCAGAGGGACCGCCCACATCAGGGCGTCACGCCCGTTTCAGCACACCCGTCACACGCTTCGTGGCCCCGTATGGAGCTCCACCGGATACCCCAAAGGCACCGTCCACATGTTGATGCGACGCCCGTTCCAGCACACCCCTCACTCACACGCTTCGTGACCCCATACTGTGGAGTTCCGCCTGAGGCCCCAATAGCAGGAATCACATGCGGCCCCAGGCCCAGCTCGGTGCACCCCGCACACGCTTCGTGGCCCCATAGGGAGCTCCACGGATGGCCGCGGCGCCAGGAATCACATGCGTCCCAAGGCCCATAATGGCACACCCTTCGCACGTTTCGTGGTCCCAAACGATATACCCCTCCTTCGTACCTTGCCGCGCGACACTCACACCTGCAAATGGTTTCGCCCCTCGCCAGGCTAAGCCAGTTGGTGAGCCTCTTGGAAATATTGGGAGCCTCCGAGGAGTTTCTTGAGCGCCCGTTGACGGTCTCGGGGGTTCTCGTTGGACAAGGGCTCGACATGTCAGTTCGAAATACCCCTCTTTCTTTGGCCCCTCGCTGGGCGCACTTGGACCGTCTTAGGCGCCCCTTGGGCCGTCTTGGGGCCATCTTGGGTCCTTTGGGGGTCCTTTTGAAGGCTTGTCGGCCCGCTTTGGAGCCATAGTGGGGGCCTCTTGGGCCGTCGTAGACGCTCACGGGCTCCGTAGTCTTCTGGGCTCAAGCTTGTGCTGCAGCTTCTACCCCAAATTTCGGCCACGTTCGCGCGTGGCCCCTCTTCGCTCTCGCAGCCTCACGCGGCTGCGCCACCACGCCCGCCGGAGGAAGGACGGCGACGCGCTTCAGGCCCGCCGCCGGCGAGGGCAGGCGCCACGCGATGGTGCTTTGCGCGCCAGGCCCACCGCCGCCGCGGACGACAGAGGAGGGCGCGGCGGAGAGGGCCTCGGCGCTCGGCGTCGCGGCTTGCCAGCGAAGCCCCACCACCGCACGAGGGCCGCGGGCACGGCATGAAGGCCGCCACCGAGCCGAAGGCCTGGATGATTCCACGCGCGGCCGACGAGCGTGACCTCGCGCAGGCGGCACCTTTCGACGTCATCGAGGTGCAGTCGCTCCTCGGACAGGCGCCGAGGTCGACAGGAGCTGCAGCGGGGCCACTGGCCTTCGCACTCGTGCCAGAGGGCCGAGGGGCGAGGGATCACCCAGACCCGAACAAAAAGGATTTCTTCCGGCAGGCGTATTTCCTAGGAGCCGAGGATGAGGATATCGAGGACGAGGTGGACCACGAGTTCGCCATTGAGCCGACCGACACCGCCGAGCGCTCCGGCGTGCTGAATTTCTGCACCGGCAAGGCGGCCGATTGCGAGGACCGCTGAGGTTGCCACAAGGTTCTGCCACGTCTTTAAGTGGAGGCCGAGGGTCGATGTCGACCCACTGCCCCCCCATTTCATGTCGACTTCCCCGAGAAGATGGGCGTGCCGGGAGGGCACCAGGGCACCAGGACCCCCGTCCCACGCGGCCCGGTGGAGGCCAGAGACAGCCCCCACTTCCGCCCCCCGCAGAGGCGCCGCCAGAGGGCGGCCGCGCCCCGGGCGATGGGCGGGAGGGCCACGCTGCGGGAGCCCCTCTTTTCGGATCCCGAGCGCCAGTCACGCAGTCCAAGGGGCAGGGCCGTAGGTGACCTTGCCGGCCGTGCGCGCGCCCAGGTCGAGGACGACACCGGCGGCTACCGCCACTGCAGGGGAGACGCATTCCGGGCGAAGTTTGAAGAGGCCATGGAGGCGCGCCGGCGCCTTCCACGGGGCATCTGACGAGGAGCGCCCCCGCCAGAAGGCCAAGGGCGACGACGACGACGACGACGACGACGACGACGACGACGACCGTCACCGCCAGAGGGGCGCCCAGCAGCGACGCGGTGACGCTTCCGGGGCGGGATCTGAGGAGGAGCCCCCCACCGCAAGAAGGCCAAGCCCACGTTCACCGACAGGCCTTGCGAGCGAGCTGCGACCCACCATGCTGGCGGAGCTGATGCTGGGACGAAGCCGCCCGCCGACACCGAGCTCGATTTGGACGCGCTGATCCGTCGATTGTCGAAGGTGGACGATGTCGGCGGGGATGTTCGCTGAGCCCCTCCCAGAAAGGCGGACCTAGCGAGCTTCGCTCGCCGCCACCCATGTGCAACTCTCGGGCAAGCCCTGCAGGAGACGCAGTGGCACCTTGCACCTTTGGGAGGGGCGTCCGGCAGCGACGCCGAGCACGGGAAGATCACGAACCATTTCGCCAGTGTCCTGCTAGCGCCATTCGAAGGAGAGCATCGGCCAGCGCTCGAGCCGCGAGCGCTGGACGGTCTCCGACGCGCTGGGCACCTTCCTCTCGGGCAACCTCCCGCGGGCCAGGGACTGGTCCAGCGGTGCCAGGCTTTGGAGGCCACGGTCGCGGATGGGGGCTCGGCGATTGCCCGCTACCCGGCAGAATTCATCCGCAGGAGGAGGTCCGCTTGTTGCCTGGCGGCGAGGCGATCGCCACGCGGTCCGAACTCGACCGCATCCGGCTCGCGGACGCATCGACGCGCAGACGGCCGCAGCAGCTCGGACAGGAAGTCAACGCCGACGAGCCAGCTAGCTCCAGCCCGCGGCGGGAGCCCGGCTCTCGACGGAGGGGCCCCGGAGCCCCCGGAGCCCTTGCGCCCGCGGGGGCCGACCCTTCGAGGGCCAGAAGGCCCCAGGGCGGGA